ATGAATGAATGGAAACCCAAAATCTCTGTAAATGTTTATGAAAATTAATAAAATATAATATAGAAAATTTAAAAAAAAAGAAAATGAAACTGCTATTGTGTAAAAGTCTACCCTGACTTCTTAGAAAACAGACACTGCAGTATTAGGGGTAAAGGGTCAAGACAGACAAGTTATTCTTAGTGGTTTCAAACAAAACCGAACAGGGGAGGAGGAAGAGATTGAGAGAGTGGGAACACACCAAACCGACAAATGTTAACAGACTCTGGGGAAGAGGTCAGACTGCTGTTCTGGAAGTATCCTGAGTTCTACAAACTGAAAACTGCTTCCAAAGAGCTTTGTTTCCTCTTTGAAAAAGGGATTCTTGGAAGGTCAGCAGAGAAGTGGGAGCAGATCCTCCCATCCCTGGCTGATCAGTAAGAAAAAATACCTCAAGGGTTTCTTGTGAAAAATATCCTGGTCCCACCACTGGCAAAGGTGGTGTCTGGCCTCTGGATGGCTCAGGACCTGCAGGGCAGAGAAGCAGATCCGGGGTCCGCTTCAGGAAAGGATTTGGAAAACAGCCCAGCGAGGGCGTGGGGCAGCAGCGGTAACACATGGGGGTCCACAATGCTGGCGCACGGCAGGTGGGAAGCAGGAGGCCGGCCTCGCCTAGTGCAGTGTGGCTAAGGCATGAGCAGGCACCTCGCCTGGTGCAGGGGTGAGTGGTAGTGCGGCTGAGGGATGCACGGGCACCTCGCCTGGTGCAGGGGGTGAGTGGTGGTGTGGCTGAGGCATGAGCGGGCACCTCGCCTGGTGCAGGGGTGAGTGGTAGTGCGGCTGAGGCATGAGAGGGCACCTCGCCTGGTGCAGGGGTGAGTGGTGGTGCGGCCGAGGGATGAGAGGGCACCTCGCCTGGTGCAGGGGTGAGTGGTAGTGCGGCTGAGGCATGAGAGGGCACCTCGCCTGGTGCAGGGGTGAGTGGTGGTGTGGCTGAGGGATGAGAGGGCACCTCGCCTGGTGCAGGGGTGAGTGGTGGTGTGGCTGAGGGATGCACGGGCACCTCGCCTGGTGCAGGGGTGAGTGGTGGTGCGGCTGAGGGATGAGAGGGCACCTCGCCTGGTGCAGGGGTGAGTGGTAGTGTGGCCTGAGCTTGAGGAGACACCATCTCCCCTCGTTGTGCAGGGGGTCCACAGCACTGTGGCCTCGCTCGTGTGGGGGGGCCCTGCCCCGTGCAGGGGTGAGCGGGTGGAGGCGCAGCGTGCCTCAGCAGCCGCAGACAGGCTAGAGGAGATGGGAAGAGTCCTGGGGGACAGAGGTCAGTGCAGGGAGTGGATCAGGATGGAGGGCGAGAAGGACAGTGAAGAGCCCGGACGAGCAGAGGCCTGGGCGGGGAGGCCATCTGGAAGGAGAGGGAGAGGTGAGCGAAGTGATTCTCTTTGAAACTCGTAAAACTGAGTTTTACATTAAGTTCTCTGGCAAGGAAGAATGCTAAAAATAGTCAAGTATTTTGGCAAAGCAATTCTCATTCTTTCACTTTTCCTCTCCCGCCCTCTCTTCTTCCGTCTCTAACATCAACCTCCTGACACTGTGGACCGTGCTGACCAAGCGGCCCAGGCTCAGTGACCTCTGCCTCCGGGGCCTGGACAGCTCCTGGCACTAGGACGGCCAGGAGAGGTGTCTCCTGACTGACTGGTGCTGACAGGTGAAGGCTGTATCCTTCACACTGAGGAAGAACCTCGTTCATAACCACATTCCACCACCATCAGGTGACACCCCAACTGCGCGAGCATGTACACTTCTGGGGGGGTGGGGGGAGGACTTGAGTCTTCCCCAGGAAATAAACAGTTCCTGGCTGAGCCCATCAAAGAGTGGCTGCCTGGGGCTCAGGGTGTCTGGAAATAAACAGGAAGGAACTTCCATGAGGGACAGGAATGCTCTGCACCTGGTGGGGTGCTGGCCACATAGGTGCAGATGCCTGTGGAAACGCATCACCTGTACGCTCAGCTCAAGTCGTCCATTTTATGTTAATTATATCTTAGTATTTTTAAAGTAAAGCTCCCTGTCTGGTGATGTGGTCTGCAACCCTAACAGTCCAAATGCACAGGGCCCTTGAGAAGATGGCCCATGTCTTTCCTGGAGGGTCACTATGAGTCAGAACACACTCCAGAAAGTTCAAACCCAAGGGCCCCTGGTGGCAAAGGGATTAAAGTGCTCAGATGTGTCTAAAAGGCTGGTGGTCCACAGGGGTGAGATGCGACAGGCACTCCTGTGCCCCTCACAGCCCAGTTCTGATCTGTTCAGTGGGGCTGCTGTGAGATGGAACCGACTTCACGGTAATGGGCTTCGCTTGGTTTCGTGCCAGCTCTTAGCAAAGTGGGCTCAGCCAGGACAGGCTGGAGCTGGGGCTAGCTGGCAGAAATGGCGGAGGCCTGGCCAGCCTGAGATGGGCACTGCAGGAGCTGCTGGGTAAGAGGACAAGGTGCCCTCCAAGCCAGCCGCTCTGTGATGCCAGGGCAACAGCTGGGGATGGTTGCTTCCCCTCCGACTCTCGGGGGGTGGAGGGGGCGCACAGGGCAGTTCTGAAGGCGAGGGAAGGAGATGGGTGTGAAGAAGGCTGGTGCAGGGGCACAAGCAGAGAGCTCCTCCAAGGAAAGGGTGTGCCCGGGGACCTGGACGGCTCCCCACGCTTGGCGCCCGCTGCGCCCTCCCGACACTCCTGCAGGTAAAGCAGGTGTCAGCAGTGCTTCCTCACAACCTGACAAGATCTTCTGAGACAGATAATGGGCTTGTCTTCGACTCAGTAATCATACACCGAGACACCTCGGAGCAAAGAGGAGATCGTCAAATGACAGCTTTGCTTTCCTCATGTCTCTGCGATGTAAAATGCAGGGCCTGTACCTCACATTTTAAGGCATTTTAGGGGGATGCCCAGTAGGCTAACTCTCAGACAGAGTCAAGACAAAGCACTGGGCTTTCTGTGTTTGAGGGGCCAGCAGTAACTCTGGAGAACAGCTCTCTAGCCTCAGAGCCGAAAGTAAAGATTAACAGAGGCGTTCCTAGACTTGACGTTTAAGAAGCAGAGCCCTAGATGTGGCTGTGAGACGCCACAGCCTGCAGCTGGCTGAGAGGGAAGCTCAACTTGTCCTGGGCCCTTGCTGGACGGCACTGGGGTCTCACAAGAATGGTGGCGGTTTACAAAGGCCCAGACTCTGCCCCCCAGCGTGCTCTACACTCCACCACCCCCTTATCCAGTTGTCTAGAAGAGCATAAACCGCTCCTGCTGAATTTCCAATCACCCGCCCTCTTCCCTCGAGTAGGAAACAGTTCGAAAACAGAGGCCAGGCCAGCTGCACGTGGTGAAAGTGGCCAGGACTCTGGCCTCCCTACACGTTTCAGGGTATGATTATTGAGAAAGTTTTCAATAAACAAATGCACTTTTGGAAACTTTTAAGTCTGTAAGAAACTCTTTTTGGTTTCTTCCTAACACACGGGGTAATTAGTCTGTCACAAACTTTTGTTGTTTTTCTCTTCTCAGTTCTTTTGGATTTTGTCCAGTAAGACTTCTCCAGCTGATATTAACAACTTATTATCCCAAAGTTAATTAGAAAAGCTTAAAACATGGACCACATGAAGAACAAAAAGATTTAACTTTTAAGAAAAAGTACAGCTAGAAAGCTCCTTAAGAACAAGGATGGTAAGGCTGTCTCACATGGGGTTTTGGACATACTACCTTAGGAGTGACCAGCTCCTGGGGAGGAATGTCGTGTGTGGTCAGAGAGTGAAACAGAGGAAGGCCCTGTACAGGAGGAACTGACAGAGCGGCTGGAGCAATGCGAGCAAACACAGCAGTGACCGAGGACAGGGGAGGACCAGCCAGGACTTTGTTCTGTCGTCCACAGGGTCACCGTAAGTCACAACCAATCCCAGAGCACGAGCCTAACAACAAAGTTACACCGACCTCTTCCTCACTTATCGACTGTCTTGTTACCTAACATTCTGCATTTAGGTCAAGAGTAAAAAGCCTCTCTAGTGATTCTGCCTATTAACACAGTACATATGGCAGTAATGAATGCTGAGGCTCAAGGCAAGAGTAATCCTGGTTTTCTCTAGTGAAGGCTAAGTGATGGGTTCACCTCCCAAGGCCAATGAGTGATGAAGTGGCAGGTCTACCTGCCTGGCCCACGATCCTCAGCGGTTAGGTCACTGTAATGACATCTGGTAGTTACATAATGCTGTAATTTGGCACTTAGGCACTGGTGACATTTATGGTACATAATGATGCAGTTAAGCTCCACTCTGTGATGTGACTTAGTCAGGCACCATTTTCATACGATGCCAACTTTCAAACAAGCACCGTCTCTGGAATGGAATCACGGCGCTAAGTGAGGACTATGTGTAGATGGGAGTTGCTACTTCAGAGCAAGCTAACAGAGATGAGCCCACTGAAGTGCCTCTTACCTCGCCAAAAGCTCCTCTTCCGATCACTTTAATGATTTCAAAATCTTCCCGGTGCAGTTGCATCTCCTTCACCAGCTGTGTGAATGGCTTTGCTACAAAGAAAGAAGAAAAGAGTCATTTAGTCCACTTCAGGAAAAAAAAATTAATCCACTGGGGAGGCCACCGAGTTACCATTTTTAAAAGATGTACTTTCCTAGGTGTTTAATATCTGAGACATTTTAGAAAATCAATATTCAACTAAACAAGTGTGGATTTTTCATGATTAAATCACATTACAAACTCCCTTATGCAACAAATACAACAAAGATGTCCTTGTCAGAACGCTACAGCCAAGATGTGTTGACTGAGAAAGCACCTGCTAGGGGGCCCCTTCCAGGAACCATCGCGACAGGTGAGTGCGCTCCAAGCTCCACTTGCCTACGCTGGTGCCACAAGGGCAGCTGGGACAGCGGCCAAGACAACGGCATTCTCAGAAGTGCCAGCTGTACCCCTGGGCACCGGAGTCATTCTCCGAGAGCCACATGCTCAGGAGCCGTCACCTCACACTTCCCCTTACATACTCCTCACACCAACTTTTTGAGATTAATGCCATCCTCCTCATCATCCAGATTTTACAGGTGAGAAGGTGGAGCCAGGATTCTGTTGGAGCAGGTGACTTTGCTCCAGGGACGCAGTGAGTGGCAAGGCCTGGACTCCACCCGGCGGAGCCCTCACCACTAGATCCTGTGCCCGTGGACAGGCACACAAGTCAGCACAATCTCTGCCGCCTGCTTCTACTCTCATTTCCAGGCTCAAGTCCAAACCCTTAATGCTCATTTTTTATTTGTTACCTAGATCTTTTCTCAAATCCACTAATCCTTTAAGATTTGCCATACTATAAGTTTCATTTCTCCAAATAAGCCATGACTTCATGTGTCCATTTTCAGATATAGTTTTTCTACAGTGAAGTACACTAACTCAACCCAATGTTCACAGTTTGTATTGCTGTTGATGAGATGAACCCTACAAACCACAAGTCTGGACATCGCCCTGTCTGGCACCGTCTGAACAACCTCCCCTGCTCCCCACCGTGTTCCGGTCACCACTTCACCAATCCATCTTGTGAGGGTCGCCTTCCCCTTCCCGGACGCTCCACCTTTCCCAGCTTGATGTCTTCTTCCAAGGGCGGGCTTCCCCTGACAACACGCCCACAGAATGGGACGTGAAGTTTCAACATCTTTGCCTCTGAAGAGCATCCTCATGGGCGCACTCCCCGGGGTACACTTCGTCCACGACAGGTAGGTCTGCTTCTTCGGCAGTCCATGGCACAGCTGCTTTGCCAACACTACGATTCAAACGTGGGCTTCTTTTGTCATCCTTAGTCACTGTCCAACTCTCAGGTACACAGGAAGCAAGTGAAACACCACGGCTTGGGTCAGGCGCACCTCTAAAGCAACCTTGGTACTCCAGCACTTTAAAGAGGTCTTGGCCATCAGATTTTCCCTCTGCAACATGTCTTCTAATGTCTTTCTTTTTAAAAAAGAATACATATTTTTTTACAGTATATTCTTCCCATTTAATTTTTTTTAAATTTCCCCCCATTCATTCATTGTTGCACATTTTCCTCCCCGCTCACCCCTCCCCCAGTTCGCTTTTCTCTTTGAAAAGAAAAACTTTCATTGTTATATAATCCCATCCCGCCCCTCCCCCAAGTCCACAGTCCACTTTACTATGCAGCTCTTTTTCTGGAATCTTGTCATAAAAATAATACCTAATCATATATTCCTTTTCAACAGTTCTCTCCCTCATGGGTTTCAATGAAGTATACATTATTTATCCCCTCTTTTCTTAGGTTTCTCCCAAACCCCGATGTCAGTCCCATTTTACAACAGTGGCACCATGCAGTATTTGTCCTTTTGTGGCTGAGATGCTTCACTCAGCATAATGTCCTCCAGGGTCACCCATTTTGAATAATATTTCATGAGTTCCTTGTTTTTCAATGCAGCGTAGTATTCCATTGTGTGAATATACCAGAGCTTTTCTATCCATTAGTTTGTTAATGGCACCTGGGTTGTTTCCAACTCTTTGATACTGTGAACAAAGCAGAAATAAACATGGGTGCGCATGTATCTGCTTGGGTAGCGGTTCTGGTTTCTTTGGGGTATATTCCCAGTAATGGAATTGCTGGGTCAAATGGTATTTCTATTTGCAACTTTTTGAGAATGCGCCATACAGCCTTCCATAGCGGTTGCACCATTTTGCACTCCCACCAACAGTGAATAAGGGGTTCCAGTTTCTCTCCACACCTTGGATGTATTTGTTGTCTGCTGCTCTACTGAATTTTGTTCTTCTGACTGGGGTAAGCTGATATCTCATAGTTGTTTTGATTTGCATCTCTCTTAGAGCTAGGGATTTTGAACATTTCTTCATGTGTTTGCCATCTGAATGTCTTTGGTGATGTGTCTGTTCATATCCTGTGCCCATTTTTCAATGGGGTTGTTTACCTTTATCTTCTTGTGGCTCTCGAGTATTCTATGAATTCTAGATATAAGTCCCTTATCAGACATGTCATTGCCAAATATTTTTCCCCAGTCTATGACTTCCCTTTTTACCCTGCTGGAGCAGTTTTTGGATGTGCACAGGGATTTGATTTTTAGATGGTCCCATTCATTTCTTTTATCATCTCCTGGTTGTAGGGTCTTCTGATTTTTTTTACTGGTGCTATCATGAGTGTTGATTGTGGATCCAAAGCAAATTTAATTTACAATTCACTGTTTAGCTAAGATTTGCTAATACAAGAGATTGAGCAGGAAGGAAAGTTAGTGACTGACCTGGAGAAACCACAGTCCCCTCAGCATCCAATTCTGACCTGTTTTGAAGCCTGGCTAGTTTGCGGAACCTTTTGATGAAAGACTACATAGAATAATGTGATGAAAAGAAGGGAAGTGCAGAAGAGAAATTAACATTCTCATGGACCCCAGACCTTTTGGAACCACAGAACTTGGATAAACCCCTGAGATATTCTTTAAGCCTTAAGCCAAAAATATCCCCAAGAAGATTTCTTACAACAATGTTGTTAGACGCGGTCAAGTCAGTGTGTCTGCACCCTGCCGTGTCCCATGCCATCCTCCTCATCTCCAACAGACCTGAGCCCAATGTTACAGTCACTGCGTCAATCCATCTTAGTGAGGGTTTTCTTCACTTTCACTTACCACGCATGATGTACTTTTCCAAGAACTGGCTGCTCCTCACAACCTGCTGAATGTGTATGGGATGAAGTTGCACCATCCTTGCCTCTGAAGAGACACTTTCTCCAAGACATAGTTGTTTGTTCTTTTGCCAGTTTACGGGATATGCAGCACTCTTCTTTAACACTCCAACTCAAAGGCAGTCAATTCTTCTGTCATTCATTGTCCAACTTTCAGATGCTTAACAAGTAACTGAAAGGACTAAGGATCAGGTTGGGTGCACCTTAGTCTTTAAACTGACATTACCGTCCCTCAGAACTTCAGAAAGGTTCCTGTTGTTTTTGTTGTTGTGTACTGTTGAGTCAGAATAGACCTAGAGCTGACCCTCCAGTGGGTTTGCAGAGGGAGGAGACTGTCCTTCTTTCTCCTGTGCAGCAGCTGGTGAATCTGAACAACATGCCTTCAGCATTGCAGCACAGCTTCTTACCACTAGCCAAGGCAGTATGTCTTCTGATCTCCTCACTGCTGGTATCAAGTGTCTTGACTGTAGATTCAAGAAAGATGAAATTGTTGGTAATTCAATTCTTTCTCCATCTAACACAGTGTGGCCTATTAGCCAAACAGGGAGAATTTTTGTCTTTTTGATGATGAGATATAAGCCATATTGAAGGCTGCAGTCTTTAAGATTCTACAGCAAGTATTTCAGGTCTTCTTCACTTTCAGCAAGCAAAGCTGTGTCACCTGCGTAACACAGGTTGTTGACGAGTCTTCTGATTAAGTCTTCACTGTCCAGTTCTCAGATGCATAGCTGGTGACTGGAAAAAGCATGGCTGGAATCAGGTACACCTTAGTCTTTACACAGACATCATTACTCTTCGGGACTTTGGAGAGGCCCCTGGCAGCAGACCTTCTCAAGACTATACATCTCCTGATCTTCTGACTGCTAGGACCAAGGATGTTTGTGGACTGTGGATCCAAGGAAGATGAAAACATTGACAATTTCAGTCTTATTTTCATGTATGTATCATAGTGTTGCCTATTGGCCAAGTGGTTAAAGACTTTTGTTTTCTTGATAATGAAATGTAATCCATATTCGAGACTGTAGTCTCTGATCTTCTTCAGCAAGTGCCTCAAGTCCTCTTTGCTTTCAGTAAGCTAAGTCATGTCATAATACAGGTTGTTGATGACTCTTCCCTCATTCTTGATGCTACATTCTTCTTCATTAAGTCCAGCTTCTTGAATAAGGTGTTCAGCACACAGATTGACTAGGTATGGAGAAAGGTCACAATCTTGACACACACCTTTCTTGGTTTTAAACCATGCAGTGTTGTTCCCTTCTTCTGTTCAGACAACAGCCCCTTGGTCTAGGTCTAAGTTTTGCATGAACACAATTAAGTGGTCTGGAGTTCCCATTTTTCTCCATGTTAGTCATAAACTGCAGTGATCCACACAATCAAATGCCTTTACAGAATCAATAAAACATAGACAGGCATCCTAGTATTCTCTGTTTTCAGTCACGATCCATCTGGCGGAAGAACTGATGCCTTTGAACTGAGGTGTTGAAGGAGTACGGAATATCCCATTCTCAAAACAGACACACATGTTCTGGAGAAGATGCAGCAAGAATGCTCCTTGGAGGCAAAGATAATGAAGTTTCATCTCACATACTTTGGGTATGCTGACAGGACAGGCTATTCGTTGGAAAGAGATCTCATGCTTGGAAAGGTGGAGAGTCAGCGAAAGAGAGAATGACCTTCAGTGAAACAGAGTGACACAGTGACTGCAGAGATGATGAGGACGGCACAGGATAGGGCAGTGTTCGGATCTGTTGTTCACTGGTGCGCTAGGAGTCATACTCAATGGCTCCTACTAACAACTAGACATAAGACCTCCCATCATAGTTCTTATGCCTGTAGAAAATTCTT